CAGAGGATATGCAGTGTTTGCGTCCACCACTCCAGCGCTCCGTGCTCTTGAAGCTGACCCAGATGCAGCAGAGGTATAGCTTTTCTCCTCCACCCGATGCAACCTGTTCCCCAGCTCCTTTGTTTGCACAAGCAACTCTTTCAGCGCACGCTTTACCACCGCCATATCTTCACTTTGTTCTTCACCACCAACATCAGGAATGAGCTCTTCGTCTGCTTGCACTCCACCAATAGTACCTCGTTCCATCTGGCCCATTAAGCCTGACGATGGTCTCTCAACAGGTGCAGGTTCCTGACCCAAAAGATCTTGCAGCGAAGGCGGCCTCCTCGTACCTTCACCACTTCTATCCCCTCCGCTCGCAGGAAGACTTGCCGGCCTTGATTGCCTCAGTCTCATTTCTTCTTGAGCCCGCTCGCTCCAGAAAGGATTCGCCGCTGGAACCGGAACCACTTCGTTTTCCACCTGAGGCGTTGGTTGTATCATTGCAACCTCCCTACCATCTGTCAGCGCTTGTACCATTTGTTGTCGTTCTTCACCCCCATCACCGCGATTTCCTTCGGCTTCATTGGCCGTGGGCGACAGTCCAGGCTCAGAGCGACGCCGCATCATGTCCATGGCGTTAAACAAACGAAAAATCTTTACTTATTCCGCAGGAAGCCTAATTTGGGCTCATAACCTACGGGGGGCAACCGAAGGAGGACAGGGAACAAAACAGTCAACCCCAACAGAAGCCCTTGATCCCCTGGACCAACCAACAACAAACCAACCCAAAACACCAAGCACCCTTTGTTCTCGAGGCGCATGGCCCGATCTTGAGCCAAAAAGATTACCGGGTACGTTGACCCCTTCAACTTTCAACACCAACTCTTTTCTACAATACCAACTGCAGCTCCGCATAGGGTTTAGGGTTTAGGGTTTAGGGTTTAGGGTTTAGGGTTTAGGGTTTAGGGTTTAGGGTTTAGGGTTTAGGGTTTAGGGTTTCTTGGGTTTGGCAGCCAGATTTGCTTGGGACACAGTGCTTTGGGAGCCGATGTCTCGTTGTGAGCGGGCTAGGCTGAGGTCTTCACGGTGTGTAAGTTGCGCCACGACCCTTTCTTTTTTGTTCTTTTTTCGTGGGTTATTTGGGATGTCATGGGGATGATAATAGGGGGTTACCAGAACCCCTATCAAGGACTGTTAGGACAACCCAAGCTCCAAGGCACAAGATGCCTGGGAGGCATTCCACAACAAGAATCCGGTTTAGGGTTTAGGGTTTAGGGTTTAGGCAGGGCCGTGGGAGGCTTTGGGGCCTCATGCTCCCTGACTGGGGTTATCGTGTGGGCAAGGCTGTATAGGGCGTGTTGGGTACAGGTTGGGATGTTCCCCCTTATACTAACCGTCCTTAATAAGGATCATAGTAGGGGGTACTAAAATCCCAATTAGAAACTGTTAGTGCAAGGGGGACCGCCGAAGCCAAATCCTTTGAATAAACCCCGTCTCTGCCTGATAGAAGCCCACCGAATAACCCTAAACTCTAAACGCCCCTAAACCTTAAACCCTAAACCCTAAGCCCTAAACCCTAAACCCTCAACCCTCAACCCCAAACCCTAAACCCTAACCCCTAAACCCGAAACCCTAAGCCCCAAGCCTTAAACCCCCCGAAGCCCCAAACGCCTCAAGCCTGAAGTCCCCCGAGGCCCCTTCTGGGCACCGCGGATCGGTGCGTTCCTACTGCCCCTCAGATTTGTAGAGGTTTAGGGTTTAGGGTTTAGGGTTTAGGGTTTAGGGTTGAGGGTTGAGGGTTGAGGGTTAAGGGTTGCAGGGAGAAGTGTCAGGCCTTTCGCGGGTTTGGGGCACTTTGGCGTGTAGGGGGTGTAGGGTGTTATGTAGGCGAACCCCGCCCCACGCTACTACCCATGTAGCGCTTTAGTAGCGTTGTGGCACTCGGAGAAGAACCCCCTGCAATCTCATGTCTGCAAGACCCCTCAGCCCTGAACCCTGAACCCTGAACCCTAAACCCTAAGCCCTAAACCCCAAACCCTAAACCCCAAACCCTAAACCCCAAACCCTATATCTGAAAGACTCCTCAACCCTGAACCCTAAACCCCAAACCCTATATAGACCCTAAGCCCTAAACCCATGCGAAGTGCAGTCGGAAAGCCGGATGTCCATGCCACACTTTCAGACTTGTAGTCACTAGGGTTTAGGGTTTAGGGTTTAGGGTTTGGGGTACTTCGGGGCTAAGAGGGGGTTGAAAAAAATCGATGCGGGGTGCTTATCGGCACCGGTGACTTGAGATGCTGAACCCTAAGCTCTAAACCCGAAACCCGAAACCCTAAACCCTAAACCCTAAACCCCAAACCCTAAACCCTAAACCCAAACCCTAAACCCCAAAACCCCGAAGCCCTCCAAGCCTCCCAGGTTTGCCTCGGCTCTTCCCAGTGCCAGCGCTGTAGACTCGGCGCCACGACGCCTCCGAGGCCACCTTCGGGTGCATGTTTAGGGTTTGGGGTTTAGGGTTTAGGGTTTGGGGTTTAGGGTTTGGGGTTTGGGGTTTGGGGTTTGGGGTTTAGGGTTTAGGGTTTAGGGTTTAGGGTTTTGGGTTTCGGGTTTCGGGTTTAGGGTTTGGGGTTTCGGGTTTAGGGTTCAGCATCTCTGGTGCCGATTGACAAGAATTTGCCGAACTACGGGTGCCGCTTGACCATAAGTTGGGTTTTGGGTTTTGTGGGGGGCTTCGCTGGAGTGCAGTGTCACGCTTCTTTTGTGGTGCCTTCGCAGCCGTACACCCCATCACCTTGAGAGACCTAATACGCTGAATAATTAAAGCACCCAAAAGCCCTGAACTGAAATCCCCCTAACACCCAAAAAGCTCCAAAACCACCCGGGTGTTTACGATATTCGGGGTACCTTGTTGGGGTCAATTGATAAATGTATCCTACTATTTGGGGGTCTGTTTGAGGGGTCCCTTATTTTCGGAAACCCCCACCAAGGCCCCTAAAACCTGAACCTTCACTTGTTTCAGAACGTCAGAGACTTGGTGGCACACCTGCTTTCCTGCGACAAAGGTGACGCGACATCGTTTAGATCTGCATCTGGGGAGCTCGGCGACGACAACGCGACGGCCCCCAAGCTCCAAAGCCCAAAGCCCCCCGCACCCCGCACAAAAGGACCTAAACCCCAAAACCCTAAATCCCAACAACCCGGAATGCTTTGCTAGGGTTTAGGTTTAGGGTTCTTCAAAGTGGCCCGCATTGCACCGTCCCAAGAAGTTCCCACAATTGCCTTTCGCGAAAACATTACCAGGTCCCTATTTTGAGGAAGGAGGCGAATTGTGCTCCAGGAGGTCTCAGGGCTTCAAGGCCTATAGGATGCAGATTATGTAGAGCTTGTGGGTTTACTTGGAGGTTCATGGGTACTTGTAACAACAAGTATAAGGCTGCTTTGACCTGCTTAGAGGACGTAGGAGGCTTAAAAGTGCAAGATATAAGTGAGGTTAGGGTACCCCTGAACGGTTAAGGGTTGATAGGGTTTAGGGGGGCATTGGGTGTAGGGCTTATGGGGTTTACAGGGTTCAGGGTTGAGGGTTGAGGGTTTTAAAAATCTGTTTCTGCAAACGCCTCCCTAGTACTCCCTGCGACTCGAGAGTTTGAGAGTTTGTGTTCGGTTCTCGTTTGATTTCAGGCTTGGGGTTTAGAATCCTTTCGGGGTGTTTCAAGTCTCCGGTTGTGGGGGGTTGTAGAGGGACAGAGACTGTGGCAGGATCAGGCCGTCACCACTGCTACCACCACCTTCTCTTTCACGACCACGCACACCGCGACCACCACCACGCGCACCGCGACCTACACCACCACGACCCGCACCACTAGTCACCTGGCTGCACAGAGGTGGGGCCAACTCCGAGCTGCAAATGTCAACGCACTTAGGGTTTAGGGTTTAGGGTTTAGGGTTTAGGGAACCTTCAATCTTCTAGGCTGTAGACTATTCAGATCAAGGCGTGCTCTCAGGCGGGAATGGACATCGCGAAGTCTGGTGTGTGTGTGTGGAAAGGTTCTGAAGATGAGTGCTCGAAGGTCGGTCTGAAAGGTTTCGATCACGGGTCAGCGTGACATCAGTGTCCTGAAAAGCCACCAAGATCTTGGATTGACTTTTCCGGTTTAGGGTTTAGGGGTTTAGGGTTTAGAGGTTAGGCGTTTAGGGTTTGGGGTTCAAGGCACCACCACCACCACCCCCGACAAGCGGCCCATCTGGAATGACGACATCCTGTTTCAGCCCAGTGACGCGCCACTGTACACGCCGGCGGCCGAGTTTTTCGCCAAGGGGGGGTCTACGCCCCAGGGTCTTTTGTTGCACTTCGAGAGCTTAAAGAGCCCATAATATCCATTCTAATCATGAGATGATGGTTGGGCTTTGGCCTGAAAACAGAGTCTCGACAACCCTAAACCCACAGACCCTGAAAACACAGCCCCCAAAAAACTCTTAAGCCCCAACACCCTGAACCCTAAAACCCTAAACTCTTAACCCCAACGACCTTATCCCTCGACCCCCAATGCGAACGCAAGAAAGAAACAAAGCCGGGCCTGGGGTCAAGGGTTCGTAGGGGGTTAGGGGTTTAGGGTTTAGGGTTTAGGGTTTAGGGTTTAGGGTTTAGGGTTGAGGGTTCAGGGCTTAGAGTTTAGGGTTTAGGGTCTAGGGTCTAGGGTCTAGGGATTTTGCGGGGCTTTAAGGCTCGAAGGGTTTAAGCGGTTTAGGGTTTAGGATCTAGAGGTTTAGGGGGTTTAGGGGGGTTTAAGGGTTTAAGGGGTTTGCTTAGGATGTATGGTGCAGGGGTCCTTGGGCTCGGTCTTGGACCTGGCACCAGGTTCTACATGTACCGGGCCGTCTCTGACACAGTGTATCCGCCCATGACGCTTGGCCTCAGGGGGACTAAAGGAGAGACTTTTTGTCAGGGACCCTAAGTGTTGCACATCGATGGGTAGTCGTACTAAGTCCCTTCTATCACTCTTCCGACCAGCCTCCTTCATATGCCCCGCGGAGAATCCCAAGCCTCACGTCCTGCGTCCCAGAACCTGAACCCCCTACAATGGCCCCACAAGCCTTCCCCAGAAAAGCCCCAAATGAGGGACGTTGTTGTTTTTGTTTTCTTAAGGGGTCGTTTGACAAGGGAGTTTGCAGGGGTTGTAAAATGCACTATGACAAAGTTCTCGAGTGATCGAAACCCTAAACCCTAAACCCCCTAAACCCCCTAAACCCCCTAAACCCCCTAAACCCCCTAGACCCTAAACCGCAAGCGCAGGAACGTGAACACTGGGAACCTTGCCGGAGTGCTGTGGTACTTGCACAATGAGGTGCCGCCTACTTGGATGTTCATGGTACTTATTTACAGCTTATACCTGTACAGTACTTATTAACTGTACTTATAACCATATTAGGGCACTTAAGGGGGCTTGTAAGAGGTTTATAAGTACAGTTATAATTGGTTAATAAGTACCCTCAACCTCCAAGTAAGGACAGTGATGGCATTCGCTGGTATGGGGTGGGGGGTGGGGGTGGGGGGTGGGGGTGGGGGGTGCGGGTGGGGGGTGGGGGTGGGGAGGCCGGGGGCAGGGGGGCTTTCCCTTCAAACCTTCGTCGGGAATTTTTTTGTTGTTATCCCTGAAGCCCAAATACCCACAAGCCCCAGACACTACACCCTACATAAATCAAATTCCAAAGTGCCAGACGCACTTTACCTAGGAAGCCCTCATAGCCGTGGGAAGTCGTGCTTCCCGAAAGCCTGGGCCCGGGAGGTCGTGGAGAGAACGCCTCGCAAGTTTGGGATCACGTGGCCTGGGTGCATCAAGAGGCATTCCATTTTCTGAGTCTTGAGATGCTTCTATAGCGGGTTACAGGGTTTGGGGTCTAAACCCTAAAACCTAAACTGTAAACCCTAAACCCGAAACCCTAAACCCGAAACCCTAAACCCTCAACCCTAAACCCGAAACCCGAAACCCCAAACCCCAAACCCTAAACCCTAAACCCTAAACCCGAGCCAGGGCTCACACTGGGTTCCGCAGCCCTTACAGTGATGGTGTGCGCCGACTGTACGTACAAGCGTCTAGGCACCGCTTTCAGTTTCCACGACTGAACCCTGAACCCTGAACCCTAAACCTTGAACCCTAAACCCTAAATCCTACGCCCCCGGTAGACCCGAAGAAGCCTGAAGCCTAGGAAGATCATCCGCCTCAAGGCACCGGGAGTTGCGGTGTGTTCTTCTGCGGCACGGGCTTTTGGGCCGAGGTTTAGTTGCAGGGGCTCAGGTTTGTTGGGTGTGGAGTGGGGGTTTCCGCAACTTACTGGGTCTGGTCAGGGAATTGACACAGGGGGTTAGGGCAGCGCCCTATATTAGAACGGCGTATATGCGGGTAATGCAGGGTACATAATTCCCTCATTCCCTACTCAGAACAAGAAAGGCAATTCCTGTGCGAGTAAAGGATGTGTGATACTGCCGCCACGTTTCTGTGTTTGGGCCTTGTGGCCCTTTCCGGATTGCGGCTTCTAAGCCTGGACCCTGAACGAAATCCGCAGACCTTGTGCCAGCGGTGACCTGGAAATCCCAAACCCCGAGCCTGGACCCGAATCTCTGAGTGCCGAGCCTCTCTATGTCCAGAAACTTCAGTTCCCCGAAGCCCCTATAGGTTCTCTGCAGGCTAAACCCGAACCTCTAAACTCCAAATCCCAAACCCCGTGGTTTAGAATTTGGCCTGCAGGAACCCCAAACACTAAATCCCCAAACCCTGTACTGGCTGGTTCTTAGTAGGGAATGAGGGAATGAGTACCCTACATAATCCCTTAAAGGGTATACATAGGGCCCTAACTCCCCTCATTCCCTATTAAGAACCAGGGGGACAAAAACCAGGTGCAGACGAAAGCGACCCAGCCGCTCTGGGAGAAGGGCATGAACTTCGGCGTGCGCAACCTGGTACGTTGAGAGAAGGAGGGGTTTTCGAACCCTAAGCCGAAAACAACCCTAAACCCTGAAACCCCAAACCCTAAACCCAAACCTTCAACCCCCTAAACCCCAAACTCTAAATCCCAAACTCCAAGCCCCAAACCCTAAACCCCAAACGCCCAAACCCCAAGCCCGCAACCCCAAACCTAGGCTTAGGGATCAGGGTTGAGGGATGGTGGTTCACGGGCCGCATCGCCGACAAAACTCACAGGGTCCATGTACAAGAAGTACACAAATGCAGCCCTGCAGCTGCCACACGGGAGCCCCCCGAACCCTAAACCCTAAACCCTAAACCCTAAACCCTAAACCCTAAACCCTAAACCCTAAACCCTAAACCCTAAACCCCAAACCCTAAACCCTAAAACCCAGAACCCTAAACCCTAAACCCTAAACCCTAAAACCCTAAACCCTAAACCCTAAACCCTGAACCCTAAACCCTAAACCCTAAACCCTAAACCCTAAACCCTAAACCCTAAACCCTAAGAGAAAAAGGTTTCGCGTTCGATGCCGGCCAAGCCACGGGGCCCTTCGAGTGCGGCCGCGACGAGTACGGGCCGAAGCTGTGCCAAGGCTGGGGGGGTTAGGGTTTAGGGTTTAGGGTTTTGGGTTTTGGGTTTAGGGTTTCGGGTTTAGGTTTAGGGTGAGGGTGCCAAGGCTGGGGCTGGGGGGGGGGCTGGGGGGGTTTTTTGAGGGTGTGTTGGGGCGTTTTTGGGGCTTCGGGTTTCTGATCATTTAAAGGGTGATGTTTGGGTTTTGAGGGTTTCTTAGGGGTTTTCAGGGGTTGTTGGGCGGACCCTCAGTTTTGGGGTGTTGGGATTTCAGGGCTTGGGGTTTGACGAGCGGGGGGATTGGGGATTGTTTGGGGTCGAAGTTAAGCAGGTCTGCTCGCCCCAGTCATGCGCCGCATGTCAGGAAGGTCTGTACAGGAGCAGCCTCAACCCCCTCCCTGAACCAACCCTAAACCCCAAACCGCAAATCCTAAACTCTAAACCCTAAACCCCAAACCCTAAGAGAAAAAGGTTTCGCTGCGGTTGAACATGCAGGCTTAAGGGGAGGGTTGCGGGTTTCAAACCTTCCTGGAACCGCGGGCCCAAAACCCGAAGCCCTGAACCTCAGGCTTCATACTTGCACTTCTTGTGGGTTCCCTTAGCTGCAGGGTGGGGGTAACCGTAAACCCTAAACCCTAAACCCCTAAACCCTAAACCCCGAAACCCCGAAACCCCTAAACCCCTAAACCCCTAAACCCCAAAACCCTAAACCCTACACCAACCTGGCAGGCGCCTTCAACAGCAGCTACGACGTGGGCATGCACAACGGCAGCGTGACCGGGGCCTTCGAGTGGGACACCTACGGCTACTTCGTCGGCTGCAATGTCCTGGGACCGGCTCGGGTTCAGCCAAGAAGATTCGTTGTTTTTTTTGGGGGGTTTAAGGTTTAGGGTTGAGGGTTTAGGGTTTAGGGTTTAGGGTTGAGGGATTCGTTACGCCAAGACCCAAGACCCTGAAGCCACCTGCTCTGGATGTCTCGGGAAATGGGGGGGGGGGGAGGAGTTGTCGGGATGGGCGCTCTGCTCTCGGCGCTGTTTAGGAACAAACGACATGTTCTGACACCTCGAAATGGATCACAAATGGCTTCAAAGAAGTCTTGGATTGTTGACCGCTTGGAATGTATAAGTCGAGCAGAACTTCTGACAGGGACCCGAACCCATTGAGTTGAGTTGTTTACCTGAAAGAAGTCTGAGCAGATGGCTCAATAATTCAGAGGCCTGATGTTCTTGTTATCCTTACAGAGAGAGAAGCTCGGATCAGTGCTGGCGATCTGTTTCGGATGTGCATGTACTCTCAAGTGCATATACGGGCTGGCCATTTTTAAATTATTCGAGACATGCAGATATTCGAAGAAAACATATGAAAGCCGCTACTTCATGTTCACTGGTGCGCAAAGGAAGTGTTGCAGGGTTGTCGGGTTTAGGGATGTTCTCGTCGTTCTTTGATGTGTAGCTGTACTAGTTGCAGAGTTTGAAACCCTAAACCCTAAACCCTAAACCCTAAACCCTAAGCCCTAAGCCCTAAGCCCTAAACCCTAAGCCCTAAACCCTAAACCCTAGTAGGTGCCAAAAAATGCTCCCAAGGTTGAGGTTTAAAGTTCAGGGCGATGGATCCTTTGGGCTTGGCAGGTTGAGCTACTGGTGCAGCCTTTGCTAACCTGAGACGCCCCAAGAAGTCGCCTGTACAAAAAGACTGTGCCCCAAAGAAGCCCTAAACCCTGAACTTTAGACCCTAAGCCTAAACACCCTAAACCTTAAACCCTGACCAACATACCCGAATGCATGTGCTCAGCCCTTCCCACGGTGGTCCACTTGCCCAGTGCGACTTTGTGCAGGACACTTCCCGTTTCCAAACTACAAGATTTACTACCCTGACGCCGTTTGGTACAGCCTTCCTGGACCTTGTCCGTCCAGAAACTACACTGAGCCGCTTGTCTGTGCAAGCAACCTCCAGACAAGTGTGCTTCGATTCGGTCATTAGGAAGTATGCCCAGTTAGATGCTCAACCGTTGCTGCCGGAATGAAGGATCTCTTGTGCTTGCTTGGATCGTATCCTTCATACGAGGGTGTGTGCAGGTGGTCCACCTCGTCCACGTCCCACAACGATCCGTCTAAGTTGAGCGTTGACACAAACAGTGGTTTAGGGGTTTTTGGACGCGTCTGCTTCCTTCATTGCCCAAGGAGCCCAATATCCCTTAATGAAGGACTCGACCTAGAATTGATATCAGGGACCTTAATATGACTTAAGGAGTGGATTCCTTATTTCAGGGGGTGTTGGGGCTCTTTGGGTGGTTTTTAGCTTCTTCGGGTTCTGAGGTGGGACGACCAGTGCCGCGAGAGGCAGCCCGGAGGCTACTGCTGCTGGGGCTTACTCTGGGAGCCGGAGCTTTCCTTGTTTTCCGTTTGCCTCATGCTGATATTAGCATCATAAGGCTTATAAGGGGTCCGGGTTAACATTTTAGATCCCACAATCCCACAATCCTCACACAGCAAAACCCGCGGAAAACCCTAAACCCCAAAAACCCAAAACTCCTAAACCCTAAACTCCCAACACCCCACAACCCTAGAATACAAAAATCTCCAGCCTAAAGTTCTTTCATCTTAAAATCCCCAAACTGCCTCAAGCCCTAAGTTCTGGGATGTTCCTCAATATACTCACAGTCCTTATGCGGGATTCTAGTACCCCCTTATTATAACCACTTTTTACGGGGCTGTTCGTATGAGGGGGAGCATCCCAACCCAAACCCACAAACTCCCCACAAACCCTAAACCCAATACCCTAAAACCCTAAACCCCTAAACCCCTAAACCCTTAAACCCTGAAACCCGAAACAAACCCCCAAAATCCTATCCCCCGGAAACCCCCGAAGCCTGGGCGGACCGAGGCGACCAGACGCCCACAGGACAGGGCAATTGCACGTGGACCTACGAGGAGAGCTCAGGGGTTTAGGGTTTAGGGTTTAGGGCTTAGGGCTTCGGGCTTAGGATGTGTGGCCGTTTGGGGGCTTGGAGGTTTGGGTGCGTCGCGGGTGCGCGTAGCGGGAGCTCAAGAGACCCGAAGTGGAAAGAGGCCGGGACAGCACTTCTGCACCCACGCAACAAGAAATCTGTGCTTGGGATGTTTAGGGTTTTGGGATTAGGGTTCAGGGTTTAGGTTTTAGGATGCAAGTGAGCCCAGAAACCCTAAGCCCCAAAAAACCCTGGCCACGAAGCCCTCAACCCTAGATCCCCAGACCTAAAGCCTAAATCCGAAACCCTACGTTCCCAGGGTTTAGGGTTTTGGCTTTAGGGGTTTAGGGTTTAGGGTTTAGGGTTTAGGGGAAGCCCGAAGTTCCCAAAACTTGAGGTTTGAGGGAGTTGCTTTGCAAACGGAGGAGGCAGGGGAGATCACCATCGACGAGCTCACCGGCATCCGCAACTACACCAAGTTCCTGGAGTCTGGAAGGACCCTCCTGACACCCCAAAGCCCCCAGCCCTTACACCTGTACATCTGAACCCTAAGCCCCATAAGGGGCTTGGGACTTGTGCGGGTTTGGGCCTAGAGGTTTGAGGGAGTGTGGCACCCTCAAGCCCCAAGCCCCAAGCCCCAAACCCCAAGCCCTGAACCCTGAACCCTAAACCCCAAACCCTAAACCCCAAACCCTAAACCCTAAACCCTAAACCCTAAACCCTAAACCCTAAACCCTAAACCCTAAACCCTAAACCCTAAACCCTATGGGCTGCAGGATGCGGTGGGTCCCATTCTAACGCCCGGGGAAGGCGGCGCAAGAAAGATCAGCCCTTCCACCCCATGGGTTTAGGGGTGAAGGGCGAAGGCCTTCGGGTTTGGGGTTTCGGGTTTAGGGGTTTGGGGTTTAGGGTTTAGGGTTTAGGGCAAGCTTCCAAACTGTTCTTCCACTCAGACAACCTGAAGCAGCCAAACCTTCCACAACCCTCCGCAAGGCGGTCAGAACAACCCTAAACCCTAAACCCTAAACCCTAAACCCTAAACCCTAAACCCTAAACCCTAAACCCTAAACCCTAAACCCTAAACCCTAAACCCTAAACCCTAAACCATTGCAACCCCAAACGCCCAAAGGCCTCTAAAAAGCCCTCGAAGGCTTGAAAACCTGCCCCAAACCCTTCA